CTGGAAGACGGGGAGGGAAGGGGGGGGTTACTCTTGAGTTGGAATTTTATGAACAGTAGGGGCGGCGCAAGCCATGCAGCAGCGTTGCAACGGCGCCGCCTCATGGCTTGCACCATATCGAATATGTGCAGTTAGGACGCACGCTTTTTCCAGCACCCAGCATCCAGCTTCAAATCAAGTCTAAATCAAAGATTATTTGCACACTGGAAGCAGGAGGGTTATTCAAATAGTCAACACGCCGTAGACATTGGTTTCACCCATCTAACGCTCCAAAAATTATGAAATATTTGATAAATCAGAATATGTGGTAATCTGATGAAAGGTCCTTTGATTATCGAATGTCTAAAGCTCCTCTTGGCGAACTGCTCGAAGTGATGAACTCTCTCATCTCGAAGCAAAATGCACAAAGGCAATATTTCCAGAAAAATAATATACTGAGGGCAGTAAAATATATACTAAGACAGGATTTATACATACTGCATAAACAGCTATTTTGTACCGTAACGACAGTATATCAAAATCGTTTGTACGCGGTGCCAGGATGGATAGGAGTTGGTGATTACATAAAGGATAATGGTACACATGTGTACAGGAGACGGTCCCTGCATATGATGAGATTGTGCTTACAAATGATATGATGGTCATCATTTTTTTTTCTTTCTCGGATGCCTTGGCAGAATAAAAAGAGTCGGCAGTCTGATATATGTTTTCTCGTCCTCAATAAGTTCTTTGCAATATGGAGGAAAGGAAATAAACTGTCCCTGGTATTCCACCATTTCTCCTTCATTTTTACTATGAAGAAAGAAAATAACTGAATATGATTGATAAATTATACAATACTGCAAAATATAATTCGCGAAATATTTAGAATATTAATACCAAGGGAATTGTACTTTGTTCTAACGAAATGGTGGTAACTGATTCAGACAATTATAAATAGATATAAAACATGATGTAGGCAGACAAACACAAGTAACATTATTTTAAAGGCATATGCTCTGAATAGTTACTAATAGTTCATATTTGTAAAATCTTAACCAAATTTAAATACATTCTCATATAAATAAACATAGCTAGCTCTAAAGCAATATCTTTAAATTTTTGTTTTTCGTTACAGAATGTCTTCTGTATGAATTCTATAATAAGATCTACTGAAACAATAGCTAAAGAAACTTATCAAACCACTGGAGTCGCTTGTAAGAATTTAACTAATTGAGGAAATTGCCAATCAATCTCATAGGAAAACAAACATTTCTGTTTTGAATTGGTAGATGCATTGATCTCCGAGCAGCAAGGTAAAAATATCTTTGATTACAGGAAACCTTTTTATGTTGTGCCCATGGCAGTTAATGCTAACCAACCCTTTTTGTGCAATTAATATAAATACTTATGGAAAGGTAGAGTTTTCTACAGTGTTTCAGGACAAGAAATCGAACGATTCTAGTGTTTCGGAACAGACACCTTTGTAAGAAATCGTACTCTAACACATTCAATCCACCACCTCCTCCTTGTCTGCCAAACACCAGTCCAAAACCCTACAGCCTTTTGTCGTGACCGGGGGAGAGACAATTAAATTTTCTACAAATCTTTTACAACCATATCCACCACGCGAATTAAAGCAAAAAAAAAAAAAAAAAAAAAAAAAAAAAAAAATTCAAATACAGACAGTGTGAACGTGCTTTGGGGAATCTGCCAAAGCATAAAGGGATTTTCATCACCCGCATCCTAGTGCAATCAGATTCCATTGGTATAATATTTCAAGCTTGCTGCACTCTGCAAGATTTTGATCGAGAGAAAGATAGAATACACTTTGAAGATGGTGAAATATATCCATATGTGGATGTAAAGATCTCTGGACATTTTCATGTGGACGAGCGTTTCAGAAAAAAAATTGCTATGTTAATTATTTATGGGTCCTGTGACAATAACAAATCAATCTTATGAATTGAACTAGACAATATTGCTTATTGTGGATGATTATATATATATATATATATATATATATATATATATAAATGTATATATATATATATATATATATATATTATATATATATATATATATATATATATATTATATATATATTTATATCATATAGAATTTAGTAATAAAATGTGATTTTGTCATGTTTTCATGACACTTGAGAAATAATTTATTTGATATATATATATATATAATATATATATATATATATATATATATATATATATGGGGGGGGTAAATGTATGTATGCATGTATGTGCTGTGTATGCATATATATTATATATATAATATTATAATATATATAATATATATTATTATATATAAATTTATATCAGGTATAGAATTTTAGTAATAAAAAATGTGATTTTGTCATGTTTTTAGCATGACACTTGATTTATTTGAAATACTAACAAGCATTTGCCTGTTAAAGATATATACATTTTTCAATAAGTTCAAGTATGCACATAAATAAACAGCAAATGATGTTACTTTCTACCGGAAATGAAAAGAAAAATACATTTTATCCTACGTTCCTCTCCTCAATTTACTGACTCTAAATAAAGCTAGTTTTCATGTATTAGTTCACATGATCTTTATTTACATTTTATATCGGAATATTCTTTACACTCGTTTCCCGCGCTTTTCCTATATACACAAAAAAAGAAAAAAATACGCATGTCAATAAAGACACCAAAGGAACGCCTTACATTATGCCCGGGTAATGCAATCACAAAATAAGAATTTGTATTAAATCGAAAACAAATTATGATAGGCGTCACTCTTGTACACTGGCGCCGTGCAAGTGTGATTCCTCTCATTCGTCCATTTGCATCGCCAAGAAGCAAGAAGCGCTGCCTAGAGTGATGCCGACCACACGCTGCGTCCTAGGGTGATGGTTTACTAGTTTCATTGTTTGAGGGAAATTACAGGATAAGCAGCGAACATATGATACAAAAATGTATCCAATTCTGGTTTGCGAATGAGTGAATAAGTGGCGGGAAAACAAGCTAAACGTACTTATGACAATGTTTCTGTTGTCAAGTGCTACGTGCATTTATATTTTATACGTACATACATGCATCATTCTTACGTGCACGGACGCGGGCACCATACATACATACATATGTGTATGTGTGTGTTTACGTGTGTGTGCGTGCGTGCGTCCATGTACGTCCCTGCACACACCAGCTTACACACGTCGGTGACTCACGCCCGTGCTCCTGAGCATCTGCACGGGCGTGTTCCGTGCACTTGGGTGGAATCTTACCCTCATCACATTAGATCGCATATTGATCAAATTAGCCAGTATTGTACGGTACTATTATCTTTGTGTGTGTTGTAAGGTACTATTGTCTTTGTTTAATGTGGTGTATGGTATGCTGTCAACACAGTTTTCTCTCTCATTTGTCAATCAATGCTACCTTGATGATTTTTATATCAAGCATTTCTTACAGAAACATATATTCACACAAAGAAGTAAAAACATGGATCATACTGTAGCATATAAAAAAACACGAATATACAAGGAATTAATCAAACTTAACAGTAAAAAGTATTGGTAAAAAGTTATATCAGTAAAGAGTAATAATAAAAAGGCGATTAGTAAAAAGTATAAGTACACTGAAAAACCTGTGAAGCTGTTATTATGACCAAAGGATAATCTACCTTTTGCTCGACACCCAATCATCATAATTTGGAATATATCACTACGTAATATTTATTACACAATGTAAAATAACAATCATCAGCAACGAAAAGGCAAACAGCCCAAAAGTGAATGGAAATCTAGAATTCCTTAAAATAAAATTATATAAAAAACGTGAAGTTACATCTGAAGGAGAACAAAAATAAGTAATGAAAAAAAAAGGATTATACGAAAAATACGAATCACAAAAGAAATACAGAGAGAGAGAGAGAGAGAGAGAGAGAGAGAGAGAGAGAGAGAGAGAGAGAGAGAGAGAGAGAGAGAGAGAGGAGAGAGAGAGAAGAGCGGGGAGGGGAAAGAAAATGGAGAGGACGGAAGGACAAGGAAAGTAGAGGAGTGAAAGAACGGGGAATGAAGAAAGAAGAAAGGATGGAAAAAAGACGAAGAGACACACAGGGATTGGACGGACGGAAGGAGGGAAGGAGGAAAGGGGAAGGAGAGGGAGGGAGAGAGTGAAAGATTAAAGAAAGAAGGTAGAAAGGGAGGGAAGGGGATTAAGGAAGTAAAAGAACGCGAGACGAAGATAAAGAAAATGAAGGAAAAAAAGGATCCGAGAGAAGATGCATAAAAAAGAATGCAAGAAGAGACGAGAAGAAGAAAAAAGGAGGGAAAAGGAAGGACTCAGAGTATAGGAAAGAAGAAAAATTCCCCACCTCAAAATCTGAAAGACCAACATCAGGGACATGATTCAGCGGATCCCCCACCCCCAACCCCCCGAGACCGCGCGCGCGCGCGCGCGAGAGAGAGAGAGAGAGAGAGAGAGAGAGAGAGAGAGAGAGAGAGAGAGACAGAGATAGAGATAGAGATAGAGATAGAGATAGAGATAGAGAGAGAGGGAGGGAGAGGGAGAGGGAGAGGGAGAGGGAGAGGGAGAGGGGGAGAGAGAAGAGAGAGAGAGAGAGAAGAGAGAGAGACAGAAGAGAGAGAGGAGAGAAGAGAGAGAGGAGAGAGAGAGCAGAAGGGTGTCATACTGAAGCCTTCCTCTCCGATAACCGGCGTCTCCGCTCCTTCCTTCTTTCCTGCATATACCTTCCTTCCTTGCTTATCTCTCTTTCTCCTCCCCTTCCTTCCTGTCTCTGTCTGGCTATCTCTCTCTCTCTTTCCCCTCCTACCTCTTCCTCTCCCTGATCCCTTCCTATCCTCCTCTCTATCTCTCTCCTTCTCCCTCCCTACCCCGTCTCTCTCCCCTTCCCTCTCCTTTTTTTCCCTCCCCTAATCCCGCCCCACCCTCTCTCTCTCTCTCTCCATAAATGTTCGCTTCGTTCTTTTTAATTTTGATTTTTTCGGTGTTTGTTTGCTTGTATTTGTTTTT